AATAATCAAGACCCTCACTGGAATGATTGTGCCAGTGAGAGCCAACACGAGTGAACTGCCCAGGTGCTGCAGAAGTCCTTGCACTATAAGGACAACTGGAGTTCTGCCTGTCTGTTCTCTAGTCTCTGAGGATGACATTTGAGGGCAAGGCTAAGATTAGAGCCCAAAATATAGCATCAGTTCCCCAGAGTACTGTACTGGTTTCTAGTTAGAGACTTCCTGAACTAGGCAAGTCTCTGTGTGGTTAGTAACCCTGAGCAGATTTCTTGTTCAGTCTCCACTTGAGTCTTGCTAGTTCTGATAGTCGTAACATCCTGTGGTGAGGAGTTTGCACAGACTGCATGGGGTGAGGAATCACTGTGTGTGCTGTATGCAATTTGCCATGGCTGGATTTTTCAGTGACCCTCCCTCTTGTGCTGCAGGAGGTGCTGGATGCAGTTGATTGCTAGGTACTGTCTTTAGCCCTCCACCTGGTCTGTGGGTTGTATCATACTTCTGCACTTTTAATCTCTATGAGAGATGAAGACCAGAACTGTGCATGATACTCAAGATGCAGTAGATCTGTATGCTTGCATAGTGAGTTTTTTGTTGTTTTTTTTTACTTCCCTCTTAATTTCCATCATTTATTTTGGCTGTGACTGAATATTAAACTAATAGCAGCATGAAAATACCTACTCTGCTACCAGAGGCACCTTCATCATGTTATAACCTTCGAGTGGTTACCGAGTAATATTTACCAATTACAGTGACACTGAGCTAAGGAATGTTAGAGTTTTATATAGGGAAGCTTTAAAAGACAAAGCTATAATCACAGAGATAAAATTATAAGAAGCAGTTTGTAGATGCATGCAGTAAAGGCATTTAATTTTTACAGTTTTGACTAATTTTTTTCAAGACCAGACAGTTACACTAAGTTCACATCTTAAAAACTGCAATGCTACCCTTTAAGTGCAAGTGATTCAGTGTATTAATAACCCTGGAAAAAAAATGAAGTGAATTAAATGGAATTCTAAATTTGAAAGAAGTACTTCAGGGTCTTTGGAGAGAGAGTTAGTTTTTTCCAAAGCTTTCTTTAACTCTTGTATCTCATAAATGTGCAAAAATAATAATAAGCCATCTTGTAAATTAATTTCCAGCAAAAGCTTGCTTGATAATTTTCAGTATTTATTCCAGTTCTTAGCTGTTACTGTCACATTTGCAGGGAGGAGGCAAAACAGTGCAGAATCCAGGCAGCTGTTTCTTTAAAAGTTCCTTGCATACAGCAGTGCCAACTGAACTGAATATAACAAAAATACTTTTCCAGGCCATCAGCCTATATGTTATATTGTCATATGCCACATGATCCCTCCTTTTTTGTAAATTAATGTGTACTAGGATTTTCAAACCCTATTTGTAGGCAGGTAGTGTTACTGCTTCTCTTAGTCAGAACTAGTCATGTGAGTGTTTTTGTAACCTTAACTTTATTGTCTGTTGGTAGCTATGCCTGTCCTACTACATGGCCTAAGTTATTGTTGCTGAATTTTACCATGGGCTCCACAGTTTAGAACAGTACTTAGGACAGTGCAGGAAGATAATTGTTGCCTATGATGACAAAAGTGATTTTGGTATAATTGATTCTTATTATATCAACTATTTGTCTTTCATTTTTATATAATTTGCGGTGTGCTTATTAGTGTGATCTGTGTTTATCCTTATATTTGAGCTGGACTTTGCATGTGTTAGGTTATTTTACTAATTTTCTTTTAAACTGTAAAATAGATATAAATTTACCAGTGCCATGTAGAAAACATTTCTTAGGCAATCATCTCTGCTCATCACAGTTACATGGGTAATGAACATAAAACTCAGTCTCTGCCTAGATGTTTTGTATTCATAAACTCTGGCCTTTCTTACGTGCTACACAGTTCATGGAGATTAATTTTAGCATGAGTAGAGAAAAGCCACAACATACAGGGGAAAGTTTCACCTCTGTGAATGCACCTATAGTCCACGCGTGTGCACACTCACTCCAGTGTGGTTAATAGTACTGGAATCCTCAGGAGCTGCAGATGTGTAGAGTAGGGTGTGGGTGGCCAGGATGGCTGAGGCATGAACTGTCACACTCAGTTTTGCTTCCAGCTGTACAGCCCTGTCCCTCTCTTGTGCTGCCTCTGGTGCTTTTCCACTGTTTTGTTGAGATGTATCCTGGCATCTTTAGTTTCTGATTAGGATGAGAAAAGTAGTGTTTGCTTTGGTGCAAAATTTGCCCGTTTGGATGTGAGGCAATCACCTTACCATGGGCCTTGCATTGTCGATTACCAAGCATCTGTCAGTCTCAACAGTTTGATCAGGGTTTAAGTTACTCTCCAAAGTGTAGGGCTGTTGACACTAGAGCTAAAAAACATCTCAGTGCTTTTTAGCAGTATATTTCCATACTAACAGCAACCACAAGAATCTGTGAATTTTCTTTCCAGATTTATTAATAAGGCTTTAAAATGAAACAAAACAAAATTAAGGTACTTGGTCAAAGGGAGAGGGGTTTTATTTCCCAGAGCTTTCTGGAAAAAAAATCCCATCTTGAGCTGACTCTCTTTTCATAAAAATTTAGTTTTAGAAACAATTGAAATGAAGAAGTACATACTTAATATATGTATACTTTATTGCTTATATAAGGAATATAAATGATGTAGTAACTGTAAAATTATGCAAACTAGCCACTAAAACCCACCAAGCATCAAATTTATAACTGGTAATGTCTGTCTCAAGAGAACAAACTGCATACTCATGAGGTATTGGGATTTTCACTGTTACCATTCATTTCTTCACCACTGTATGTAAACTCAGTGTGAGGTTTTCAGACTAGAAACTTGATCAAATTCAAGTCAATTTAGTAAGAAAGTTGAAAAGCAGAAAGCAGATTTTAATTTATCAAAAGCAGTCATGCTGTATGTGACCTGTGTCCTATCATGTGGAAGTAGTAATAGATTCTATTTAGAAATTGATGAGGAATTTGCTGCCTGCTGTTGAAGGCACATAACAAGGAAGCTGATACCACTCGCAAGTGAAAAGGGATGATGCAAGGTATTATAAAAAGAATCATGCATTTGAGACAGATGTGCAGTTTGGAAGAGCCTGATCATACTTCACAAACATGTACACGGATATGTGGTGTATTTTTCCTCATGTTCACCCACTTTGAAGCTGTGTTTATGAAGAATGCTAATTGAAGGATGCAGGCAGGTTTGTAGCAGTGCTGACATGTCCTTTCATATTCTGTTTTCTGCCTGCAGCATATTTTTTCCAGGGCTCTTTTTTTTTTTTTTTCCTGCAGCAGCTCAGTTTTTGTTTGTTGGGGATTTTTTTTGTCTTACTGTGTAATTCATGTTTGTATGCAAAAATTCCTTGCATTTCTTAGTCACTGACCTGTCCTTGGGTAATTCTGTCTGTACTTCTGTCTCATTGCTTCAGACTAATCATAATAATACATCCAGAAGGTTTTTGTATATGTGGGAAGGAAGGGGCTTCCCTTCAGGATCCTGTTTTTCCTAGTTTGTAAGGTATTTGCTGCTGTTGCTTACCTTTGCCATTGACATTCTGCTTTCCATAAAATATGTTCTCCTAGCTATATTACTTTTCTTACCTTATTTTGGAAGGGAAAGCAAGATTTTGAGGTCCCTGCATGTGGGAATATAAGTTGTGGTGATGAGATAGCATCCCAGGCTGCTCCCTGTCACAGCAGCAGGTGCGAGTGCAGCTCTGAGCAGGTCCTGGCTGCACTGCACCCTGGGAGCAGTGGCTCCAGAAACCCCTCCGTGGGTGCCATTCCATTTGGTAGCACTCTCACTGTGGTTGCTCAGTGTGTGTCTGCTGCCTTTTCTGTCTCCTGAATAATACCAAACAACACAAATCTGTCATGCTAATAAGAAGCAAATGATGGAAAAAAAATTACTTGAATCTCAAGTGTTCTTTGAGCATATCTTGTGGTCGTTTTCCTAGTACAGGGTCGGTGCTGGGATGTAGCTGCCAGATGATTCTGATCTCTTTTTCTGAAGTGAGATTACTTCTTTGTTTTCTTGTATGAATGACTTCATTGGTGTTTCTGATAAGTCCAGTTTTGTGACAGTCAATGCAAGCTGACGTCTGTTCTGCTTCTTCTTGGGGTAAAAGCATCCTCTTGTGTTTTTAGAGTTAGCCTGCTTCTAGAGCCATGGCAATCCTTGAGTGCTTGTCCATGTGTGCAGTCAGGTTGCTGACAGAATATGAACACCCAATTTCTATGCATGCTTGTAAATAAGATTTAAAATTTTCTTTTGTTTCATCTTTTTAGGAAGTGTTTATAGATTGTAACTTTCAATAATAACTTTAAAAACAAATCCCAAAATCCTGGTTTTAAGTTCTAGTACTGTGAACTGTCTGAAACACAATCCAGTAGAAAGCCAAAATAACTCAGTGAATTCTTAATTATTCTGATATCCTGTAAGGTAATAACCTTAACTTTAGCATGGCAGCTCTGATGGATGTAGACAGGTACATTTACTTCTATGGACTTCCAATAGCAAGGCCTTGCTAGTAGTAACCTGCAAGAATTTTGGGAGGGAGAATAATTTCAGACTTACAGTTGAATTTGCTCTTCATATGAGTTGATCTAACAGCTGCTCTGTTTAAATTATAGTAAGGGTGAAACATTGTGCAGTAAGACAGAAGCAAATAATTGTAGTGTTCTGGTTTTGCTGACATTTTAAGACTATGTTCAGGTCAGTTACTCACAAAGCAGTAGAGTGACAGAATTTCATAAAATTAAATTTGGCTAATTCTTAATGCCATGGTTTGTATTTGTTTGTTAGTAGAGGAATGGCAGTAGTGTGATGGTCTACTGTTAGTATGAAAGAATCTTACCAGACTGGTGATTGCCTGTTTAGTAACTGTTTTCTTTTCTCCTTTTTTTTTTTTTCCCTTTTGACATGTTCCTGACACTCCTGCTTGCTTGTGGCAATGAATATTTTGATCCTTGTGAATTGTAGAGCCCATTGTGAAGAATGGGAGGCCTCCAACGTCTCACAGCATGCACTCCTTTCTCCACCAGTACACGGGGTCTTTCAAGAAGCCTCCCTTACGGAGACCACACAGCGTCATCGGGGGCAGCCTCGGCTCCTTCATGGCCATGCCCAGAAATGGGAGCAGATTAGGTAATTTCCTATGTTGTTTAATTTTTCTGTGAAGAATAATGTTTATATTGATTTTTCCGTGCAAGATAGTTGTTTTAACACTTTAATAAATCTCTGGGAATGCAGTAATCTCTTCTGGGCTTGTTCAGGGTAATTTTTTTAAGGCGCTGAATGTTTTGTAAGATTTTCAGGAAGAAAGCAATTAGAAGAACACACAGAAGTCACCCATGAATGTTTAGCAAGATGCAATGTTCTGAAAGTCAAATTATTCTTCCTTTAATACTCTGCAAGGAATCTGTGTGTCCATCTCAGTTAAGCATGGGTGAGAAGTATGATAAATATTGTACGATAAAAACAGATACTCATTCTGCGTGTGCAGTTTTAATAGAACTGGTGTGTTACCTCTCATTATTATAAGGGGGGGAAAATGTTTTTTTCAGTGATAAATTAAAGCCACTCAACTATAATTATGTTTTTGTTGTGGTCCCAAGCTGTATTTGTGCTTCTGTGAGGGAAATAAGCTATGAAGCATTTTTTTTCTTCCTGAAGTAATTTGTCATGTTGCTGCCTCCAGTCACCATTAATGTTTTACCCTGCTTTTATGTTATTTTAAATTATGCTTAATTAATTGATACTAGAAAATGAGAGCAATTCACAGCTTAATTAGAATTTTATTATTTTTGCAATCTTCTGCCCTCCTTTAGAAGCGTGTGATAAACTGATCTTCAAGATTAAGCTATGAATCTTCAAGATACCAGTCAAACCACTTATATCCTCCTGCTGTAATATCTCGTGTTCAAAAACATTTTTGCTGCTAGTGCTACAATTCAAACTGAAAAAAGTTACGTCCTCATGAATTGACTATAGCAGCTCTTGTTATCACAATAGAAAATGGGGTTTAGTATGCACAGCTTGACTACTGTATCAATTCCTGATTTCACTCAAGTCCTGTACACAGTATTTGGTTTTTTTCTTCTTTGCCAAGCCAAGCTTTAGTTAAATTGCCAGAGATCTAACAGGAAGGCAAAGATTTAAAAAAATAATAGTGTCCTTAAAGAAATCTGTGGTTAGGGCTATTTAGTCTTTTATGGAATGTTTGTCAAATTGTACATATATATATCTATAAACTGTTTACAGGAACAGCAGAGATGTTGTGGAGTAGAGAGATGTCTGTACTCTTGTTGTTTTGTGTTGCCTGTAACAGCATTCTGTAGCATTTTGAAATGTAAATTTACCAGTGATTTCCTCTTCAAAATTTCAAATGAGCTTTGCAAAAGGAAAATTCATACAGTTTTTGTTTTCTTTTAATGATTTTTGAGTTTTCTCAAAGCTTTATTTTTCACCTGAAAAAATACTGATACGTAGGTATTGCAGAAGGATGCTATTAGTTTTCTTTTTCTCAGGCAATCACATTTTATAGGTGACCCATTATTTAAATCACATGCATGGTTTGGATGTTAGTCTGTAGGAAGTGTTATAATAGCATGTTTTAAATAGGTACAGATTCCTGTACAATTTGTAATTTTGTTGAAGTTGTGTGGTATAGATTTACAGAGTTTATCACAGAATCACAGAGTGGTTTGGGTTGGAAGGAACCTTAAAGATAATGTAGTTCCAACCTCCATGCCATGGGTAGGGACACCTTCCACTTGATCAGGACACTGCTGTTAACCACCTTGTTTTGCTTTGGATGCTATGATTCCATTAATTATGCTTTTTTTGATTCTTTATTTGATGAAAAGGTAAGCTGCTTGTACATGTTATATACTGGTGGAAACACAGGTATAAGTATATACAAGCATAATTACTAATGCTCTTGCTGCTGCTTTTTCACACCTTTCCTCCTTTTGTTCCTGCCATAAGAGAGAATGGTTATTACTCAACAGGAAGCTGAGGTTTTTCCCTGTAGGGATAATGACATCAGAAATGAAGTGGTCAAATATGGTACACTACATGAGACTTTTGGGTTTTTTGCTTTCTTCGATCATCCTCTTTTGTTGACATTTTTTCCTCTATTTCATGCTATCAGAGAGATACCCTTGAAATACCACAAAATGCTGCTAGTTAAAGGATGATTATTTGGTTATACAAACAGATTAACCTGAGATATGCTACAAGTACATCTTCATGCTGCTTGGTTTTGAATGAGATAATCAACATAAAAATTGATTGAGAAGCTCAGGAGGTTTGTCTATTTTTTGATCACTGAACATAAGTTCCTGCTGTTGTGGTAGTATGTAAAATCCCAAAATACTTTTTAAAGGAACTTCTACTTGGAAACTCTCTTTAAGCTTTAGGTTTTGTGAAATGCTGTGTAAAGTAAAGCTTTTTCAACCGCTCCTTTGTTTAAAATTGCTTAGTCATTTTTAATTTAGTATTTCCTTACCATTATGATTTGAAATAGCATAGATGATTCCCAGGCCAAATTGTGAAACCCCTGAATGAGAGTGTAGCTGACAAGAAGTTTTAGCTCATATGTATCTATACAGTTTCTTGTACAGTCTTGTACCTTCAGAAACATTTAATTGCTTCAGTCCATGATAAAGCCAGAGCTAATAAACCCTTTTTAGACCTGACCTGACTGAGTGCAGAGCCAACCTGATTGTTCTTGTTTCATATTTATATTACTGGCACCTCTGGAGAGGCGCCTGGAATGTGCAGAGCCAACTGAAGCTGACCCTCCTGGTGAACTGTAGCAGCAGCCAGGAGAGAGTTTATCCCTGTTTTTGCCAGTTGTGTTGATACAGTTAAGGAGAAGGTTTGTTTCATTGTCATAAATGCTGTAATTGAAAGAAATGATGTTTCCATACAGCTTTCATAGTTCAGTAGCATTAAGAGCAAACACAATTTCTCACTATGGCCTTCCTCAATTTGAATCATATTATTAGTGAAACTAATCATAAAATGTAGCCACTTCATCAGAAAGTAAGCTTTGGAAAACTGTGCCTTGGAAGGGATCCAATCTGCAAGTCACGTGATTATCTTTGTAATCATTTGAAATAAGGTGGAAAGCTCATGCAGTCTGACTCAGTGCTGACTAATTAGTGGCTGTGATTATAGCTCACTTGGAGGAGTTCTCATTTGCTGCACTGTAGGTTCCCTGTATGAATTTCTTTTGTGGTGCGTTCCTCACAGCTGAAATGAGGACAGCCTTTTCCTGTAAGTGTACTTCCATAATTTCCCTGTTATATTGTAGTCATCTACAGCTTCTCATTACATGGCCATGCTGGATATTTAGTAAGGTGTGTGCAGTACATTAAAATAAACATTGTGTCAGAGAACAGCTTGGGTGTTCAGTGAAAGCAGTTCAATACATTATTGAACACTTGAAACCTCTGAAGACCTTGCAAGCAGGCTCTGATGCAGGTGAACTTGTCTGTGGAAAAACTTAGTGAAATCAAGGAAGTATTTGCGTGATTTTCATGGTTGCTTAATCAAATATCATCATGCACTGGTATAAAATTTATTAAGATATCTGGGTTAATGCTTAGTCCTGGGTTTGTGGTATTCAAATAATGAACATAAGGCTCTACTAATGCCTTTTTAGTTTAATGAAATAAAGGCATGCATTTATATTAGATGGTGACACAGTCAAGTTATTTTTAAAAAGCTTAAAATTATAACTATTTAGAAAATAATTAAAACATCTGCAAACCCTTAAAGATTGGAGCAGTTGGGTATTTGGACTGTTGGAAATTCAGGCATGTGCTTAATTTGATACATCTTTGGATGCTGCAGCCAGTATCCTGCTTAAACCCTCTTGGTTATGGGTATATAGCTTATCCAAACTTAGCAGAATTAAGCATATCACAGCAGTATTCAAAATCATCACCTTATGTAAGTCTGAAATACTGTGGTTTTTAGACCTGAGTTGTACAGACCCACTTTGTCTTCACATTCCTGTTGTATAAAGAGCAGAGTCTCCTTGCATCTACATTATCTGTCCCAAATATATGGGTTTGTGTTACTAGTTCTTGAAATAGTCCTTATTTGTGTGCTATTACATAGGTGATCTGAGTAGAATTACCTTCATCAGCTAGGATGTTCCTTGCAGTTCTGACCATTGCATTTGGAATTGTCATTTTTTACTAGTAATTTCATAATATGGACACTTTTGTGAATTGAACATGAAAAGTATGGCAGTATCAATCCCATAATTACTTTAATATGTGTCAGTCTTTTTAAAAAGGAATTATGTAATTGCTCCATGGCTTAAAATACAGCACTTCTATAATTTTGTCAGTTTTATTTTGTGAGATTGCCCAGGCATAGCTGTCTCCTGCTTAGCTTCTGTAAAGAAAATAGACTTTGGGGCCCAATCAATTGGCTTGCACTAACATGGGGATAAATAGATTGGGTAAGAATTGTCAGTAGTTGTTAACTTAATTTTACAAACTGAATCTTGAGAGCTGGAATTGCTAAAATGGATTACATGACCTCTCAGAAAAGTATTTTAAAAGTGTCTTTAATAAAGAACTGATATGGTCAATGTGCTGTTTAACGGATACAACAGTGCTGGTATAACAGCTTTGCTGCAAAGAGTGTTTTCAATAATGCTTTTAGATTACTAAAAATAATTTCCCACAGTTAGAGATTTTAAAAAAATAGTTGTCATGTCACAGCAGAAAGTGAGACATTTCTTAGAGACTTGGCAAAAGGGAGTCACACTTTGTCTGCTTAGCTTGAAGTTAAGGCTGATCTTTAGGAACCACTTATGAAAAATCTTTTCCTGTGGTTTGAAGTGCCATGCCCTTAGAAGCACTGATGAGTATATACCTGGTTTGAAACCAGAAGATTGCTTCTTATTATAGAGGGAGTTCAAGATTATTTTTTTTTCTTAGTCAGTCCAAATCTGAGCATGACTTGCAGGGAAGATTCTGAGGCAGAATTGAAATTCAATATAAATCCGCATCACTGCTGGAAAATTTGATTTATGCATGAGATGCATGCTTGGTTTGTGTGTTTAATTACAGTACTGTGAGTTAAAATGCATGGTGCTAATAACTTACGAGCTAATCTTTTTATATCCAGTCTGTTTTCTGTAAAATGAAATTCTTTGTACTGAGGAAGAATTTGTTCCTTTGAAATTTACATGATTCTATGTGAGCCAAACTAGACAAATATTTTAGAAGATGAACTGATAACCAAGCCTTGGCCTATTGCCTTTTTTTCCCCCCTAGAAAATCCAGCTTTCTTCCTTGTTGATAGTGGTGGTCTCTCTCTCTTTTTCTTAAGTTGCTGTAATGCTTAGCAAGTGTTTAGTATTTTCAGGTGTGTTGGTGGTAAGGCTGAATTGATCTCTGTGTGGTTTGCTAATATTAGCAGTTTTCAGGGGTAGGGTTTTGAGATTTTTAGCTGTTCCTCAGGTTGTCTTTTACCTTGTACAAGATAATAATATCAAGGATCAGGATTGGGCAGGGAAGTCGGTGGCTTTTGAAGCACCTCCTTTGTATGTATAATCTCTTTAATTTTTGTGTGTTTAATCTCTGGAGTAGTTTCAGAGGTGATGATGGAGCATTACTCATGGTGAATTGCTTGGATGACAAATTTCCCATTGTATGTCACTGGCATTTCCCTTTAGCAAGTCATTTGGCTCTTTATGCTATTAATGTCTCGGCCTTGATTTTTCTCTTCCTTCATTGCAGTGTTTGTCTTCCAAAGTCTTGAAAACTCTTTGGTGCTTAAAACTAATGTATATGCATAATGTACATAAACTCCTTTGTGTGGATGAATCTAAAGGATTGTATTGACTACCAGTTTCAGTTGACATGAAGATCTTGCAGCATCACAAAACTCAGACATTCTGTTACCTAAACTCCTCCATAAGGTGACAAATTTCACTTAATTGCTCTTAATTATCAGGCCTTCCACTGAATGCACTTGTACACTGTGGGCCTATATTTAGGTGGTCGCAGTACGTCCCATTCCTTCGCACACGCACACCAGTGGGTTTTAGGTCTGAAGTTACCGTGTTGGGCATTTCTGAATACAATACCTATCTCTCTCGTGGGTTTATTGTAAGCTTTTTGAAGCTACATTTAGGTTACTAACATCAGGTAGTCTGATTTGAAAATGTTAAACATTCTCAGTAATGGTGGATATCCAAGAGCAGCTAAAAGAGAAGAGGTACTGAAGGAGTCGAGGAACTCAAGCCTGGAGGGCAAGGTGGCTTTTTTGCAATAAAATTAGAATTGGACTGTCTTTTGTTTTGGAAAACTGAATTCTTCTGCAATCCAAATTAGAAAAAGAATTATAAAGTCTGCGTACAAGTCCTGTAAAGGAATCCTGTTCATTCTGTGATTATTTCTGAGCCATTAAAAGTATGTATGAAGACCAGCATGGTTGTGATGAATCTTTGACCCTGCCATGTAACCCAGTGCACAGTAACAATAGGATTTGTTTTCGGTCTGCACAAAAGAGCTGTTTGGTGCAATGCTGATTAACTGTTTTCAATTCTGTGGATTATTTTTAAGATATTGTTCATGAAAATCTGAAAATGGGGTCAGATGGTGAAAGTGACCAAGCTTCTGGAACGTCATCTGATGAAGTTCAGTCTCCCACAGGTGTTTGCCTCAGAAACCGGATACACAGGCGAATCTCAATGGAGGTAATTACTTTTCATGCAAGAATCCTTTAAATTGGCAGGAGAGATGGGGGATGCTTTAATTGTTTCTTTTAACTGTTTGTCTTCTCAATGAACTGTAGCTGTTCTGACATACAGAATGTGCATAGAGCACTATTTCAATACTATTTAAATCTGTCTCCATTTGCCACACAGAAATCAGACGGTTATCCTGCCATGTTTGAGCTGTTCATTTTGAAAATCTAAATATGTTTTGGAACTTGGGGTTTTGGGAGGAATTTAAGTGTAGCATTTGAATACCTTTCTGTCACATTCTGTGGCATTCACTGAGTGTGTTCAAGATACACAGTTTAGACACTTTTTATTTAATACCATCTTCTATTCTTTGCAAACTAATGCTGCAGCAGCAGTGTCCTGACTGCTTCAGCCTTTTTTTCCTCTCTTCCTGTTTTTTTTTTTGTGAACGGAACTTTACAGGATGGTAAACAAAAGGAGGAAAAGTACCTTATGAATAACTGTGCACATAATTTCCTTTATTTATGAGTCTCATTATGAATACTAGCCACCCTTGTGCTTGTTTTGTTATCATTTCCCTTGGTGAACTAAAACAGACCACTTCCCTTTTTCTTGAGGGTATGAAAGTTACAGTAACAATGATGTCTTTGTTACAGAAGCATCTAAAATACTGTAGTTGCTGCTTTATAGCATACATGGCAAAATGCATAGTTTGTAAGATTTTGAATCCTCATTCAAAGGCTCATAATAACTATTGGGTTGGGGAAGCAGATTTGGATAAGTTACAGTAGGGTGAACATGCCAAAAATTTTTTATTTGTGAGGCATTCCGTTATGCTTGGAATTCCAAGACTCCAAGCATGTAATGTAGATATGATTCCAAGAACATGTGAATTAGCTGTATTAATTATTTACATAGTTTATTGCACCTGGGAGGTTTTGTTTTCAAATTCCTAAATTTGTATGTTAATCCCAGGTTTGACCTAAGACTTTGTTCTCCCAAGTTTACTTGCTGAAGTTTATTTGGGAGTACTAAGGTGGGTCTGTTGATTTAAGCAGGATACTTAAATCAAGGAAAAAAGTCAACGTGTAAACCTACCAGAATGTATGCTGGAGAAATTAAAAATAAAAGAAATTATTTAAAAGGATTATTTACTTTTTGTTCATTGTCTGTTTCCTCTACGTTTAGAACAGGAAAGAAATAAGGAAATTAATGATGCATAACGAAATTAACAAACTGAAATGGAAATCTGTCAAGTCTTCCAGAGAAGGCTAAGAACCATTAATGAATTCTTTTTTACTTTAGAATTCAAGAACTCTAAAAGAAATTACAAAGAACTTGGGAATAGTCAGTAAAGTTCAGGAAATTCCTGTGTAATTTTTCAGAAGGTGTCAAATAAAAGCATCTTTTAATTGACCTCTGTAACTGTGAAGCAGTTCTAATGTTACTGTTTAAGAGGCTTTGGGAAGCTTTTAGGTTTTGTTTATGCAATGTTGATTTTTCTCATTTTCCTCCAATTTCCAAATGGTTGTGACTGCTGAAATGAGTGTTACTTCTTCATTGAATGACTTGGTCAATGAGAGTACAAATGTTTTTGGCAGCTATTCGTGTATATTCTGTGAGAATTACCATGTTTCAAATCACTTAGTGTTGATGTGGTGACTTTTCCAGTAAGATTTCAGGCTAATGTCTGCAAACAGTCTCAATTCTGAATTTCAAGAATGTTCTCACTGGTGGACTTAGGTTTGCTTCTTTAAGTGCTTCGTAGCAGAGTAGGTGGGACTTCTACCTGTTTGTGCATTCAAGAGGGATAAAACTATATCTTGCAGCTTTGGTTTAAAATGCCTTTCTAATAGTAATCTTTGCAGTCATCTTTCTCATTTCGTAAGTGAGAAGGCGTAAAGTGGATTATATTGTCTGCCTGTCTTTCCCTCCTGTTTATCCCATGGGTCATTTTCTGTCAGTTTTGACAGATGGATAGAAATCTCAGATGCTAATTTTCTATTAATTTCTGTGCAAAAAAGCTCTGCATCGGGAGACATTACTAGTGCATCCATTGCTAGGAAAGATCCAGCCTTTATTAAACACCACGGTATTCGTATACGAGTTGAGTTTCAAAATGTAAGTCCATAGAAAACCCAGGTTTTTTTGGGGGGAGTTTTGCTGTTTGAGGAACGGGGTAACTTGTTTCCTTGGCCTTTGAGGGAACCAAAGAAAGGTTTCCTCTTGGAAAACTTGTGCCTGCATGCCTTGTGTGATTTGTGCCATGGAGCTGACTAGTTCAAGAGTAGTAATGTGGTTTTATAAAGAGAAAGAAACTTATCTTTGTTGTGAAATGAGTTTCTGTGATTTCAGTTTTATTTTGCTGGCTTGTGGGGTTCTGTCATCTCTAGACATCATTGGGTAGCCTGAGGACATACTCCCTTTATAGCCATTTAGGATAAGTTGTAGCTCTGTGCTATACATCCAGGTTGGAGTACATTAGTATGTGCGTGACAGTGTGTTTTTGCTGTAGTCTGCTGAAGTCATTAGTCCACTTGAAATCCATTGTAGAATGTATTTGATTAAATATACACTGTTGGATAAACTCAGTAAAGCCATATTCCTTGTTCCTCTGCATTAAGATGAATGTGCCTGTCACACTATGGCTATGAGCTTTTCTGTGTTTAGTTTGGCCAGTATTCACTGTATTTATAATATTTTTGTACATAACTTCTTGGTTATGCATGTTTGTTTCTCTCTGCTGAATTGGCAGAAGTTCTGTTTTGTTTTGAAGGTAACTAGTCAGGTAAAGCTGAAACCTTGGAACAGTCCTTTTTACATGTAATAACAGTGTATATAACCAAATTTCTCGTGCTCAGCTTGAACTTCCTCTAGAATTTTGAAAATTAGCAGCCCATCAAAAAAACCCTCTTAAGGTTTTTTGAATGCTTGCTAAAAACGTGTACTGGACTCAGTGCTAATTAGCAAAACTGAGCATTAATATACCCTGGCATGTTTTGTCCATTAGAATACACGATTTTTAGTGCCCATCCCCACTGCTGTGTATCATATAATAAAGCTGCTTTTTCTGTAATTGTTAAATAATGCAGAGCTACAAATAAAATGCTGTCAAAGAGCAGAGTGATTCTGTGCTGCAGAGTATGTGAAGGAATCTGTTGGGAAATAAAACTTGATCTAAAATTTTCATACAGAGATATCCAGGAAGATAGAAAATTGCAAAATAGGCAATGGAGAGAGAAAGGGAAAATGTGTTTGTTGCTGCAGAATCTTCATAGCAATAGAAAGCTGAAATTTCATAACCTTAAGTTGCCCTGCTTTAGATAGGAAATCATCATTCTGCAATGTCACCTAAATATGAAGCATTTTAGATAGGAAGTGGTGATGCTGCAGTGGGAGAGAATCCTGCTCTGCAGTGCAAAGTCTGCTGGGGTGAAAACTTTCCATCCACAGTAGCAGCCCTGGAGAGATAGCAGCTTTCAATCTGTCACGTCTGCCCTCCTGCCTGCCTTCGACATATAATTAGGCCAGGGTGACTGGTACAGGGAGATGATATGCATTTGCTTTGTGATGGTAAATGTTTTTGGGTTTTTTTTTATTATTGTTCCTTGTTATCCTGTGCTTAGAAAACAAAGAACATACCAGAATCTCATTGTGTTGCCTAGATAAAGTTTATTTTGCCTGTAATCCGCAGGCTACAAATTGTCTGTTGCTTTTGGTTTTTTCTCCTTCCTTCCACTCATTCAGGCAGGAGCCATGCTGACAGTAGGTGTGAGCATCTATTGTGTACAGAGTTTGGCTTCAAACAGCTGTTAGGTTTTGATTAAAATGTCTGCTATTCTCATGCTAATATAAATTATTACTTTGTAAATCAGTAAAATTGTATGTCAAAACAGATGCGCGAAGTAATTTTTTGAGTGTCGGATGCAATACAGCTTAAGAATGACTGCATGTGTATATGTATTTTATCATGTAATGAGAAACACTTCTCCGGATCATGGAGCCACAGCTTACAGTGTTTTCACTTGGCTTTTGCTGGAAAAGAAGACATGGGCAATAATGCATTAATATAGATTCACATTTAAAGCCATAAGTGTTCACTGGGGACCCTGTGCCCATGCACTGGATAGTGAGTATATCATTAAGAGCTGTGGTGGATAAAAAATAAGGAGAAACAGTCTGTGCAAATTGAAACATCTGTTTCCCTTTCCCAGAAGTCCAAGGTCTGTAAGCTATCTTAGCATGTGAACTGGCGGAGGGCCATAACCCACTGTTCACCAGCCTGTTTCCCAGATATTTTATCCTGAGAAACAGTTCTTATCCGTCCGACTGTCACATTAGTGACAGAAGTGTATTCCAGATCAGACTGCTCCCACCACATTGCTGTAGGGTATAATTCTCCCCTGGGAGGATTAGCTGCAGGATTAGTTCTTTTAGCTGTACAGAAAGAAATACAGAGCTACGAATTGATGCTGTGGGCAGGTGTGTGTTGTGCTGGTCACCTTCCAAAAGAAAAAGCGTAGATGAGAAGTAAGTTTTTGGTGAGCTTCATGCTTTACCAGAAGTGTGAGTGGTTTGGCAGCCTTGATACAGCCTGAGGAACTCAATCTGATGTTGGGCAAGCCTGCCTTCTCCTAAGAAAAACCTACAAAGTTGATTGATGTGTCAGCTGATGTAGTGGTAAGGTTTTGTTCATAGGCTTCAGATCAGAAGGTCCCCATTCACATGTGCAAATAGGGCACTCTTGGCTCTATTCAGCTGTTTAAATGCTTGAAGAGCAGACTGGATGGCAGGACTGACCCAGGCTTTCAGTCAGGGTTGGTACAGTATTTTCTCCTGCTGTTACATTTGGTAGCAGGAGGGCACTGAATCCAAGACAGCCTGAGCATTCAGCCTTATGTGTCTTGCCACTCAAGAGGCTCTCTTAGATCCCCACCAGGCAGTACTACATGGTGCCTTCTCTGAGCAAAGCTGCTTGCTTCCCCCTTCCTTCTGTGCTTGGCAGCTGT